TCTTTGTTTATAAATTTTTAACCTTAAAAAATAGTGTAGATCAACAAATTTATAAAAACTCGAAAATATTGAAAATTGACGGTCCAAAAATATTTTACAAAATACATTATTTCCAAAACTTGAGATTCATTTTTTTCTCATGTTCATGCATCTTGATGTTGAGATGATCAATTTTAAGGGTATTTTGGGCATCAAAACAACCTCTTCTAGTGAAATTTTGAGGTAGGCAATTATTTGATTGTTTACAGCCTCGGCTCTATATAAACTTTTCCCAATGTGAAATGATTGAATATTTTGATAAATTTCCCACTAAATTTTTTGTGGGGAATTTTGAGAAGTACATTGCTGTAAATATTCCATTGCATAAAGGGTAGTATAGTAAATTGTTCACAGATGATGATTTGGGGTTGATCTGTCCCGCGCATCACGCTTACGGGACACGTAGCACAGCGTGCACGTTGGGGGTAAATCTCCATCGTTTATTATTCGCACTCTAGGGAAACAGAAGGTCAGGATTAAACACCTAGGACCACCAGCTACTCAAATGGGGTGGCGACCGAAAGTATAGTCAAACCGACCAGCCAATCAGAAGACCAACAAACATGTTTTTTTTTTTTTTACCTTGTTTTTTTTTTGTGGGTTTTCTTCATTTTATGTTATATTTGAAGTAGTAATTTATTTTTCCTTTTTAAAATGTCTTTCTATGGTAAAAAAAAAAAGATCCGAGCGACCTGAATCGCCTGAATCCTCTCAGATCCAAGGGCCCGGTTCTGCTCTGGGTTATCAAGAATTGAGCGACTGAAGTTAGCTGCTCATTCCACTTCTAGAGTCAGTATTTCAAAACACACAGATCCAATTTGGAAATCATCAATCGGGATTGAGGCTTCTTGGACCAGTCGATTTGCAATTAGTCAAAGAATGGGTTGAATTGCTAGTCTGGATTGGTGACTCGCCAATCTCGACTGGTTTCTTGGATGACTAGTTCACCCAACCGATCCGATCCAATGGCGAAAAGTGCATCATCCTCAATTGGAACTTGAGTATTAGGTGCATAATTGCTGAGCCAACTCGAGAATCACCGATCGACAATTTCATCAAATGTTGAGTTGACATCTGACTCATCTTCTTAAAACATTACTTCTTTTTTTAAAAAAGATTGTATGCAATGAGACCATTTATTTTTCGTATAAAGAGGGTACAATTACTTACAACCATTGCGATGTGAATTCTAAAAGCCTAGGTATGTCACGAAATTTGAAAAAATTTCTTTTGAACTTTGAGCTTGGTCAATTAAATAAATGCAGCCACCTAATTTCACATCCAATGGTCAAGAATAATTGTGACCACCTTATTATATTTTTTTTCTTTTTTTTTAATTTGTGCTTGTTTTTTGTGAATTTTACGTTTATTTACGCCACGAGATCTCCATGCACGTGCTATTGTTGGCTTTTTATCTTTTTTGCCCACGAATATGTCCTCATGTTTCTCTTTTTCCCTCATTTAAAACTGATTTATGACTCTTTTAGTGCAGATGTGGCTTCTAGGATACAATTAATGGAGTAGCCAAAAGATTTTGTGCTCCTGCAGGAGCACATCGTCTATAAACTCCCTCAAGTAAAATCCTCTTATATTTTGAGGACCTAAATATTTGGGATGTGATCTCCTCGACCTAGCCATCAACTTAAT